CAAACTGGATGAAAGAGCCGAAGGAAACTGATCAGAGAGGCGACCAAGAGGCCAACAGCAACTCTGAAGCAGCTGCAGGAATTTATGACAAAGAGTGGTCATTGTGTGCATGTGACAACAATATCACAGATTCTCCACAAATGTGGCTTGTATGGGAGGGTTGCGAGAAAAAAGCCACTCCTCAAGAAAGGCCACATGCAGTCAGACTGAGCTTTGCCAAAACACACCTTCACACAATTATTTGGCCTCAACACCAAACGATATGTCTGGCGGAAATCCAATACAGCTCAGCATCCAAATAACAGCATTCTTACAGTAAAACATGGAGCTGGTAAAGTCCTGTTATGGGCTGTTTCTCTGCAGCAGGGACTGGAGCACTTGTCAGGATAGAAGGAAAAATGCATGGGGCAAAATACTGTCAAATTCTTGAGAAAAATCTGCTGCCCTCTGCCAGAAAGTTGTCAATGGGAAGAAGGTTTACCGGTCCAACATGACAAAACTGAGCACACATGGTTGAAGGAGAAAAAGGTGAATGTCCTTGCATGGCCTCGTCAGAGCCCAGACTTAAACCCCACTGAAGATCTGAGGAATGACTTGAAGACTGCAGTCCACAAACACTCACCATCAAATTGAACCGAACTAAACAGTTCTGCAAAGAAGAGTGGGCAAATATTGCAAAGTCTAGATGTGCAAAGCAAGCAGAGACAAATTCCAACAGACTAAAGGCTTTAATTAAATCAAAAGGTGGTTCAACAAAAATACTGACACAAGGAAGGGGGTGATCCTTTTTTCAACTCCGTGATTCTGTTCTTGTTGCTTTTTTCTGACATGCTGGTGTTATATCTTGGAAGCTATAAGTTGCACTGAGTAAATACAGTTGGATAAAACAAAAACGGTGCAAAGCAACAAAATGTGATTATTTTAAAGGGGGGTGATGCTTTTCTATATTCACTTTAAGTCAGGGTTAAACGAAAATCATACAAATTCATGCATTATGTAAAAGATAATTTAAATGAATTAAAGTATAACTGTTCAGCATTCAGACTAAAATATTATGCAGATGACTTCAGCTTTTGTGTGTGCATGCTACGGGTGTGTTTAAACATTGCAGCGTAAAACTAATAGCAAGATTTTGCAGCAGTGTTGCCCATAAACGCCAGTCTTATGATGAATTTTAACATTTTAATATAGCACACACAGATGTATAATGCAAGTAAACAAACTAGGGAGACTGTAAACTTGGCTAAACTTGGAGTCACTAGAGCGCTTACTACAGTGTGATGTGTAAAACTTTATTGAACATGAATGCAGTGAATAGGTACACAAACATAAATAAAGCCACTCGCAACTTTCACTCACTCTAATAAACGAGCTATAAGAAAAATGTAAATCACAGTCTGTAATGAAGTGCAAAATACCTGTTAAACCAGAGACTACAGTCGCAAACATAATTTGTATATTTGAAATGACTTATAAACCTCTTAGTTTTTTTAACCAAGGATGAAGCAGCAAATACAGTAATTGATAATAAAACATTATCCTTTTTTATATTAAGTAAATCATTTCATTTTCTTGCTTACAATCGTTATCCCGGGTCGCCTCAGCATATGAGAACTGAAACCCATTTATTAATGCAAATTAAATGACTAATTATATAAATATTTGTCTGTTTACATACCACAGTATTTTGTGAGTAAATAAATTTGAGAGGTAAATTGAAACAAAGAGACAAAATAAATTTGCGTATGCATTTCATTGTAGCATGCACAATTCAAGGTTTCAAGGAAAAGAGTAAAAAAAAAAAAAACATCTTTGCAATCTTCAGCTTAAATCTTCCTGATTTTCTCCCCGACGATAAGCGGGTTTTCCTTCCTTATTTTCTCAGCTGCATCAGCCTTGTAATTAAAGCTACAGTTGTGAACATCTGAGTATCTGTGAATGCTGCAAAAAAAGTGTCCGCACCGGCAGTCAAAGCCTGTCAGACAGAAACAAAAGCTAAATTAGCTCAATATACTCAATATTTGAGTCAAATTGTTGGGTCTTAAAATCTAGCCTGTTGCATGCAAAGTTTCATTATACGATATATATATATATGTGTGTGTGTGTTTGCATACCAGTGAGCCCGACTTTCTTGCGGCAAGTGAAGCAGCGGTTCTTCTTAGGTCTAGATTGCTCTGGTACATCTGAGGTTTGCTCTGAGACATCTGAGGCTAAGAGATTAATACAGGTGTTAACATGAAGAACACCTCATTCAATGGGATTCTGAATATCAAATGTTCTTGGTCAGCATCTGATTTGAGCCTGCATCTTTTCCTCATATAGTATTGATCTAAACATTCTGAGGAAAATGTGGCAAGAATGATGCAAAGATCCTGATATTCACCAGACACTCTTTCTATGGGTTGACAAGTTTCATCCAGCTTCCTCTTTCCTCTAACTATGCACTCCTCCGCTGATGAGCTACCTGCCGTGGACTCCTGGATGTTTCTCACCAGTTTACTGCACGATACTTCTGTACAAACAAACACAAAGTCAGTTTTCCTAAAGAATCTAACACCATACACAAGAAACGGGGTTAGCAACCGCTTTAAGGCTTAGCTAGCTCTAACTAATTTTTTTTGTTTTTAATATTTTCTCATTAACTAGGCTGTTGAATTTTGGAAAGTTGACACTTTTGTTAACCAACCGAGTAGAAAAAATAGACATGGTTGCGTGACAGATGCGAAATATAAAATTGATATATAAAACAAATGAATAAATGACTTGTTCAAAAGTTTGGGATCAGTAAGATTTAAAATTAAAAAAAATGCAAGTCTCTTTATGCTAAGCAAGGCTGTTTTAATTAATCAAAAATACACTAAACAGTAATATTGTGAAATATAACAATGTAAAATAATGTTTTTCTATATTAATATACTTGAAAATGTAATTTATAAATGTGATGCAAATCTGAATTTTCATTACTACAGTCTTCAGTGTCACATGATCCTTAAAAAATCATTTTAATATGTGGATTCATTATCAATGTTGGAAACATTTTTGTGCTGCTTAATATTTTTGAGAACATGTGAAACTTTTTGCAGGATTGTTTAATAAATAAAAAGCTAAATACAACAGAATTTATTCAAAATAAAAAATCCTTTGTAACAATAAAAAAAAAAGTTTTTACAATCACTTTATCAATTTATCATATCCATGCTGAATACAAGTGTTAATCTCCCCCCCCAAAAAAAAATAAAAATAAATAAAACATACATTAAATAACATTTTCTATAAATAAATAGACATTAAAAAAAATAATAAAAACCTACTTTTGTCTGTAAGCTAATGCTAGTTGAGCAAAGTTTGTTATTGAGAAAAAATAATGCGATATGACTAAACATGTGCTTGGACTTCAATCAACATTTGTCATTTAATAACCTTTATCATTAATCTCCATCTAATACACAATTCTACTGTAAGGTCCACCCAACTGGCCTAAACGAAGGTATCCAATGGTGGCTGAAGGTTTCTTGATTGTACGGTATTTTCGGTGTGCAAAGTAATTTTAATTAAATTAAATTCTAATCTGACTCAATTTTATTATGACCTCGAATTTACATTGAAATGCAAATTGGTTGTTTGTCCATTTCTAATTTGATTATTCTAGTGAACTCTACTTTATATTTTACTCGTTCATTAGGATTCTATGTCGCTCAGAGTGTCTCACGTCGGCTGATTTAAGTGGACCTCACGATCACAAACTCTCCAATCTGATCTTTAGACAGAGGTTAGGACTTCTATTTAATAGACCACCTCATGCTTGTCATTCTTTAAAGAGGTTCGGTTCAGCCCCCTACAGTCACCTATGTAACAACCTAAAGCTCAAACAATAACCAGAGATTATAGCTAGAACTATGAAGTATGCCGAACCATATTTTCTAGTGCTCCAATAGTATTTTGTCTAGCCCCCCATAGTTAATGCAACTGCATAACTTAACTGAAGTCAAACAGTAAGTCAGAAATCTAGCATTCCACCTGATGTGCACCATGCTCCATCTAACCTGAGATCTAGTATGTACTTAACTTACTCGTTCATTAGGATTCTATGTCGCTCAGAGTGTCTCACGTCGGCTGATTTAAGTGGACCTCACGATCACAAACTCTCCAATCTGATCTTTAGACAGAGGTTAGGACTTCTATTTAATAGACCACCTCATGCTTGTCATTCTTTAAAGAGGTTCGGTTCAGCCCCCTACGTAACAACCTAAAGCTCAAACAATAACCAGAGATTATAGCTAGAACTATGAAGTATGCCGAACCATATTTTCTAGTGCTCCAATAGTATTTTGTCTAGCCCCCCATAGTTAATGCAACTGCATAACTTAACTGAAGTCAAACAGTAAGTCAGAAATCTAGCATTCCACCTGATGTGCACCATGCTCCATCTAACCTGAGATCTAGTATGTACTTAACCCTGGACGCAGATTTGCGGAAACATACACCTTAATCTTCTTGAGAAAATAATTTCAGAGTAAGTCAGAATAAAATCAAATGTAACTATTTATTATCAGTCAGGTAAACATGTATTATGACAATTACATTAGTCAATTCAGAGATATCAAATCAAATCAATACATGAAATTCTCAAAGATAAATCAGAGTAAACGATGCATACCCGACTTCAGGAAAATACATAGTATGGAGTGCAGAGACACACACACCACACTACGGGCTTATCTGACTACAGAAGCACCCTGATCTTCTTGCAACTTTTCCTTAAGTACTCAGACCAAGACAAACATCCTTCAAATAGAGACAGGAACTAACAACTGGAATCTGCATCGATCAAGTCCTAGATATTGAGAGTTTACCCCTTTTGGGGACAGATGGTAATTTGCATGAAAGACATTGGGAAAGAGCACATCCTCTACAGTGCGAAAAAAAATCTCTCTAAACTCATAGGATCTGTATTACCTTTTAGTCTAGTTCTTGTAAGATTGAGACCATTGTACCAGTCGCCCCGAGACTATTCAAATGATACCAAACATCACTTGCATTCATGTAGGACCTTATATTATGCTATTGACCATTCTGAGTGAGGGGAAGGAAGTGGATGAAAAGTGTAGGTGAGAAATCATCTCTCAGTGAGATGTGGAAACAGATGTCTGCATGTTAATACACTGTGTTTGTATGGTCTCCATCTCAGAAGATCAAAGTGTCTGAGGTTCTTCAGATCTTACAGTTAACCCCCCTTTGACCTCGTGGGTCAAATCCAGAAAAGTCATTAAGGGGTCACTGTCAGACACTTCTTGTGGTCCTTGTGATGTAGTATTTGCAGTTGTAGAGGCCTTTGTGGACACCAGTCTCAACGGGTGCATGTAGCTTGAACCCAGCAGGTGGATGAACGGGTTCAGGATTTTACCTGTCTGTTTGAGAATAACCCGTGTGCATAGTCCATCGAATCAATCCAGGCCTTTAGCTCGACATGCCATTCCATCGAGGAGAAACTTCTGTTTCTAGTAGCACCTTCACTAGGACTTTCTTGCCTCTTTTGACGAATCTTGTCACCTTCCAATTGTGCAGATATCTGGGCAGACTCCAACAGGTGAAGGCTTCTCATTGGATACACACTGCTTTGTGTGAGACACCTAAACAGCATCTTAATGGCTCAAGGACTGAACAACGATGAACTCGATATCATTAAAAATGGGAAGAAAGTTGTGAGATTTAACAAGAACACATAACGAAAAAACAAGGTAGGTTCATGTCAGCAAGTGTGAATGGCACATTAGGTCTCAGGTGTCTCTTAATTCCTCATATGATAAAGCAGTCCCATTTAAAGCAGCCAATTCCTCACTACCACTATGATGGCGTTTAATGGTAGTAGAATTGAAGCATTCTTGGTCTGAGTGGCTCAAATGAAATGTAGCAAAAAGTCAGTATAACTTACATATTTATATAGATGGTATGCATCATTAAACCACATAATAACAAAAAAAAAAAAAGCTAATTTTGTAGCTGATTGACAGAAGTGCCCGCACTTCATATCTAACCATTTTTGATAATGTTTCTGTAATTAGTGATACGTTGGGAAGCCAGCGGGCCCTCTATTCTAATAACAATTCAGAAAGTTTAAATCTGTTGAATTTTAATGGCAGATCTGCCTCTGCATTCAGAATTTTACATCATGGATTTGTGACGGTAGCCATGCATATGTATATTATGCTTCCCATGAATTGGCAGAAGGTTGTAAATAGCAAATGTCATGTGTCTTTGTTAGACTGTCATCATGGGATTAATTCTACTATCCTATGTGTGTGAAGCTATGTGGTTCTGTCAGTGTGAAGACGGACAATAGATCTTTAGTGGAGTTCCACGTTTGGAATCCAAGCCATCGTTGTCTTCTATGATGTGTAGTGCTCAGCGTGGACAGTCTAGATCAGGTTATGATGTAATAGTGGAGGTGTGTGTTCTGTGTTCATGTCTGGGAGATGGCTGGAATCTGCAAAAATAAGTTCTGTGCTACACTGGGAAGCCATGTAGATATTTGTGTAGTGATGTACTACTGTGAGGTGTGAATGGCATCTTCAAGTGACTTCGCACCCATCTCCTGCATTTCAGGCCATGTGCTAACAATTCCGCTGTCCAGGCTTGATGCAGGCGGGATAAGGCACCTTCCTGATATCTGTCTCTCAAGGAATTACAGTGGTCAACCTGAGACAGAAACAAATACAGAGAGAACCACGGTTAATTGTGGAGTTTTGACCAGTTTCACGTTCAGACGTGGAAACGTTCATTATTTTAACTGCATCATCATCACGTATTGTAATTTTTATTCCAGATGTCACATGAAACGGAGTCTCATCGGTCAGATCTGAATTACTGCTGCTGTTTCGGTGCAGTCTGAGTGTGTAACACCTGAAGCTGCTCTTGCAGTTGAGCCTTCACACTCTGCTGTGTCATGAGCATTAGAGGCCTGCTGGGGGAATTTTCTAGATTAATCTGTGTTTTTAATCACCCAAATCATAGTGAACTCCAATGGGCCGATGCCCATGGCTTTGCTTTCAGTTGTTCTCATTACATTTAGATCTGTGGGCAGAAATGTGTTCACCTGTTTCGGTGTTGTCTGTTTAGCAATTGTTGTTTTATGGTGTTGTTCACACATGCAGATCTCTGTGGCACATAGCAAATTAGCAAATCGTTGATTGACATTTTGTAAATGTAATGGGAACCAGCCTATTTATAGTTAAAATTAAAACCATAAAAAAAAAAATTAATAAAAAATGTATTTTATTTCAGCTAACAACCAAGGCAACATTTCTCATTTTTATTTAGTTTAACAAAGTACTAAAATAATCAAAACTGAAATTAAATAAAAACTATACAAGCATTTAAAAATAAGGGGGAAAAAACAAAAAAAATACTAAAACTATCTCAAATTTAAATGTAAAAGCAACATCTAAAAATAATAACTAATTCAAAATATTAATAAAAACTATGGTAGTACCTCAAAGATACAAAAAAAAAAATGGAACTTGGAAGAAAAAAAAAAAAGACTATTCATAAATTAAGTCTGCCATCAGTGCAAAAACAGCTTGACATTGTGAAATATGTAATACTTGAGTTTAACACAAAATAATCATAACAGTAGAACTGCCCACTGATAGCCATACAAATGTATCTACTGTTATATAAATGGTAGAGCAGAATCTGCTGACACACTTCTACCGTATGTACCGTAATACCACTCAGTCCTAAAACAGGTTTATACTTCAAGAAAGGGGCCTGTTCTTGCCTTTTTGAAATAAGAGTTGCACAA